TATATATATTTTAAAAAAAAATTTTTGAATAAAATCAAAATTTTTTTGATTAAAATCTTAGATATTTTGTTTCAAATAAAGTTGTTCCGAAGTGAGACGAGTTACTCACATATAAGAACATATATAATATAATTTACAAAGAAATTCATATAAAGTATCGATATAGTGGTCTCGAAATGAATAGCGTACGACAATAGGTCGAAATTCTAAAAAAGAATAGAGAAAAATGTGACAATTTGCATAATCCTATACTTTCCTGCTTTCAGATGTATAGAGAACAAAAATTTATGCTTGGATTCCATACGCTTTGGCAATTTAAGTTGTACAAAAAATATCATAAGGTATTTTGCACAATTGTTCTTAGTTAACATTATGATTGATTTAGATTAGGGTTTGGGTCAAGATTGTTTCTTGTATTTTGTATGACTCATTTTTATACTTTCATTACTATTATTATTATTATTATTATTTTTATTATTATTATTTTTATGCTTTAATTTAGATAATTCATATTGATTCTACGCATAATACGAATCATCATAAATATGCCCTTTTTACAATTTTAATCTAGCATCCCTATAGCGGTCAAGGTGTTCCATTAGCATGGTTATTAACTGAATCTCAAGACTCTGAAACAATCAAGCTATGGCTTCGTGCTTTGAAAGAGGATGGTTGGATTGACCTGGTAAATGTAATCTTAGATAATGATAATGCAGAAATTAGTGCAATCCGTGATATTTTTACTACGTCAAATATTTTTTTATGTTGGTAGCATGTCAAACGCGTATGGCATAGATGGATTAATAAACAAATACCAGGAAAAGAGTGCAATAATTTGTTTCAAGATCTAAATCAACTACTTAGTATTTCTGATGAAAGTAAGGTGAATAATGCTCTTATTAAATTTGAGCAAAAATGGCAACATACAGCTGTGGTACAATATTTTAATGCTCAATATCGATGAAAAAAAGGTAAGTTATTTTCTATTATCTCTAAATATAGATATAATCGTTTTTTTTTTTTGTCTTTTGTAATGCTCAAAATAAATTAATGCGGCAAAAAATTGCCACTATGTAAATGCCAGATACTTATTCTTTTTTAATTGTAAAAAAATATTATTTATTAGAAATGTGGATAGAATGTTATCGCCGTAAACTAGTTCGTGAGACAAATACAAATAATTACATAGAGGCATATCATAAAAAAATCAAATATATCTACCTTATAACTCGGCTTAATAGAAGAATAGATTTTCTTATTAATGAGTTAGTAACTAAAATATTACCTGACTATCGTCAACAAACAATTCAGTGTAAGTTAGGTGTTGGGAGAATGAATTCGGACTATAAAGTTTGAAGGCAATTTAAATTAAATTCTGTTGGCATTGATAATGGTTCAATTTTTCGCTTAGATGAGTCTACATATTTTGTCAAATCAACTCAGGATGAAAATGATTATACGATTGAGCAAACAGGAGATAACGCATTAACCCTTACCTGTAATTGTGAAGCATATTTAGGAAACCCAGTACCTTGCAAACATATATTCGTTGTCATGCATAAATATAGTATTAAAATCCCTGAACAAACCACTTACTTACCCCTACTTAATGATGATGAACAATTTACTATCAACAACTTAATTATTAGGATTCAAGAAAATAACTTTAAAAAAAGGATTGAAGAAATGAATCACCGTATTAACTAACAGCTAGAAAGGTTAGACAATCTTCGTCAAAAAATAGATTTGAACAGTATATCTTTAGAAAAAAGAGAAGATATTGTTAATAAGCTAGAAGAAGTACATTATATTCTTTCTCAATATTAATTACCGGTGAGCAATATAGCCTTGGATTCTGCTATAGACATGACATAAGCACTATTAAAAATTAAAAAAAAAACCAAATTAGACTAGAAAAAAAAAAAAAAAGAATAAAAAAAAAAAAAGAGATTAAAAAAACTTTTTTGAGTGGCACGTATCTAAAATCTGCTGAAAGGAGCTTTCTAGTGGGCGATATAATCTTGAAATTTTTTATGAAAATGGTATAGGCACTTTAAAAGATAAAGATATTCGATTGGTGTTTAAGATCTGCTAAAAGTGATTCTGGAATATACTTTTACAAAATAATTATTGTTTCACAACTTTTCAGCACAAATACATCATTATATTTGAATGTATAATAAAAATTGAACAAAAGAATATTTTCTGTTCGCCTTTTTTTCCTGGTACCCGGGAAAAGCTTTGCACCAATTTTATAACTCAGGCCAAATAAAGTTGATCTCAGTTTATAACTAAATTTAACAAATGCGATTAAAAAAAATTTTTAAAATTTATAAAAAATTTCAAAAGTTTTCAAAAGTTTGACCCGTAAAAATCAAATTAATTTCGTGTATAAAAACTGTTTTCGTTCAAAAAAAATTTTTTTTTGTTATGCATGAAATTATACGTGTTAGGTGCTTTTGTGTTATAGTTTTGACAAGGTCGGGAGAGGGTCAGAGCATTGGTGACAGATTCGAGGTGGTCCGTTTTTGCTTGACATAAGGGAATCCGTATATATGTCTACTAAAGATTCAAACTAACATATTTTTGTATATATTGTATATATTTTTTTAATCTATATAATGAATATATTTTAGCAATTTTATTATCTTTTTTTAAAAATCTTGAGTTAAATAAGGTTAATTATATTTGCTACAAACTTGCTATTCAGTATTAAAACTATCTAATTGTAATTTTATAATTTTAATAAATAAAATTTTATAATAGATTTATCAATATAATAAACTATCAAAATTGATATAAAATAGATCAAATACAAGGAATAATTAAATTATGTATATTAAAATTAATTAAGAGTAAGTTTAATAAGTTTATTTGTTTAAAATTTTAAAATTATTCTAAAAAATTTGTTAAAGATTGAAAGCTATTATTTATATATATTTGCTTGTCTATAAATAAATTCTTAAAATAATTAAAAAATTAATTAATAATTTAGCTGAAGCAATTATATTTGATTTTAGCTAATATTGTTTTCTTGTTATACAAATTTAAAAAATAACTAAATAGCCTATTTTAATATAGTCTAATTAAGTATATTACTATATTATATAAAATATATTATATTATTATAAAGATTGTAATACATTTAATACTATATAAAAAATACAATAATACTTATAAAGCATACATCTCAATATCTAATACAATTTAATAAAGTATATTACTATATAAAGCCTGCAATAATATTTATAAAGTATATATTTTGATATCTGATATAATCTAATAAAGTATATTACTAGGTTCATGATACATTTAACATATTATATAATGATAAAATGTGTATATATAATTATTTAAATATATTAATATAAAAATTATTATTAAAAGTCTTTGTTTAATATTAAATTTAGCTGTATAACTTCTATTTAATGCTAAAAAAATCGAGAATTAAACTAGCTAATAAATTTTAATTAATAATATTCTTAAGTATTATTCTAAACATACTTTTTTAATTATATTGTTTTTGTTTTAGCAATCTTTTCTTTATTATTTCAATCAATATAAAATTACACTTATAGAGGCTAACCTATTTAGTAAACTATATATATCTGTACTAATTAGAGATATGCAAATGTATATTTTTTGGCTCTGCATTGTATAATGCAGCATAATGCAGTATACAACATTATGCAATCATGGTATTCTACCAAAATCAAAAAGCAAGATTCATACCCAATCTTTCTTATATTTAGACAAAAGTTTACTATTTTGTGGTATTTCAAAGCTTATATTAGCTGTTCTGCTTTATACAGGTAGAAAATCACTACTGATGCTATATATTACTTAGTATTACATATGATATAAAATATAATATTTATTAATTTTTGTTGCATTAAAATTATATAGTAATTTCTATGTGCACTTTTAAATTTTAAAATGTTTACATTACATTATATGATATTATGTTTTGCATAATGTAATATATATAATGCAGAATGCCCATCTCTAGTACTAATAAAGAATTATTCAATCTCTTAAACAATAGATTTTACAAGAAAGATCCAAGTGCGATCTATTTAAATGGCTTATATTTACTTTATTTAGGATTCTTAATTTACTAAAAATTTATATCCAAGAGTCTACAGTAAGTGTCTACCGACCTTGTCAGAATCACTGCTCTATATTACATATTATCAATCTGAAGAAAAATTCTCGAACAAAAAATTTTAAAGAGCAAATAAAGTAAGGAAAATTATAAAAAAAGAGATATTTTAAAACAAAACAAATAAACAAGTAACTAAACTAATAAAAGAAATTTAAAGTACTAATTATAAAACTAAAGAATCTATCTAACAAATTAATATCTGCTAACTAGGTTACTTGTCTATATAATCATAATAATTATATAAAACTTAATTAATATATAAAAAATTAAACTAAATACACTTTAACCTATACCAAAGGCTAAAAATTATATATACATAACTTTTGTTATTAGACTGCATATCTCAAATTCTTTTTATTATTCCAACTTTAAATCTATATTCTATTTTAAAATATAACAAATATATCAACTCTACATGTTCTTCCTGTATCATTTTATTTAATAGATATGTAAGTTTTTAAAAATATTCAAGTCCTTAATGTACTGAGACTATGTTTTCAACTAAGAAATAAATTACTTTCTATGTAGCTATGTGTTTGTTATATTTATATCACAGAGTCACTAAATATAAAAGTGATAACTAATGCTGATTTTTTAACAAAAAGTAGCCAAATCTCTCACTTTTTGTCAAAAATTGGTTTTGGAAGTATCAAAACAGTAAGAAAGATTATGGTCTTGCAAGTTTCCAACTAAAAAAGGTTTTTTAAGAGTTTATCATGTTCTTTCATCTCACACTTCTTGAGTTTTTTTTTACTTGCTGTTTTTAAAGACTTCTTTGGTTTAGATACTAAATACAAAAAAGAATCTACCTCAAAAAGAAAGAAAACAAGGCTTGATTTCTTTGCAAACTATTCAAAATGTCTATTTCTCAGTATATCATATTTAAAGACTTTATCAACAACTGTTTTTATCAAAAAAAAACTTCAAGTTTTTAACTTGATTTCAGTACTAGTTGGTACAAATGATTATTAGAAAGAGTTTCATTGTTTTTATAAACTTTTTAAACATGTTTTTTTAAAAAATATATTATTTTAGTTATTTTTTTAATATTTAGATAAAAATCAATAGTATAAAAATGCTTGAATAGTAATTCTATATATCTTATGTTTTGATAAATTAGTTAAAAAAAATAAGTTGAGCCAAAAAATTTGTTATATTATATTTTCTTAAAAGCAATTATATTTGATTAGTTAAAAATACTTTTTGATATTTTGGTCTATTGATTAAAGCACTTGAATACTTGAAAATACTTTAAACCTGATAAAAACTTTTTTATCAAACTTCATAAAATCTGATCTAAAATATATTTAAAAAAAAAATAAATAACAAAATTGAAGTTATACTAATTTTTTTTAAAAATTTAAGCAAAGAAATCTTTATAGCCATCAAACCAAACTTGCTAAAAATCTTTTATTTAAATTTATAGATTCATAGAATTTAAATAATAAAATTTTATCAAGTTTGGTTAAATGATTGTGGAGATATCTTTGCTTAAAGTTAAAGAAAAATCAAAATACCTAACAAAATTGAAGCTATACCAACTTTTTTAAAAAATTTAAGCAAAGATATCTCTATAGCCACCAAACCAAACTTGATAAATTTTTTTTATTTAAATTCTATAGATTCATAAAATTCAAATAATAAAATTTTATCAAGTTTAGTCAAGTAGTTGTGAAGATATCTTTACTTGAAGTTAAAGAAAATCAAAACACCAAACAAATTAAAACTATATCAACTTTTTTAAAAAATTTGAATAAAGAAATATCTATAGCCATCAGATCAAACTTGATAATTTTTTTATTTGAATTCTATAGATTCATAAAATTTAAATAATAAAATTTTTTTAAATTTGGTCAAGTGATTGTAGAAATATCTTCATTTAAAGTTAAAAAAAATTAAAATACCAAACAAAATTAAAGCTACACTAACTTTTTTAAAAAATTTGAGTAAAGATATCTCTATAGCTACCAGACCAAACTTGATAAATTTTTTATTTAAATTTCTATAAATCTATAAAATTTAAATAAAAAAATTTTTATTGAATTTGGTTAGATAGTTGTAGAGAAATTTTTATACAAAATTTTAAAAAAGTTAGTATAGCTTTAATTTTAATTGATTTTTGATTTTTTTAACTTTGAGCAATAAAATCTTTACAGCTATCTGATTAAATTTGATATTTTTTTATTTAATTTCTATGAATTTATAGAATTCAAATAGAAAAATTATCATTTTATAAAATATTACTATTATACAAATTAGATGATTATTACATATGAAAAATATTTTTATAAATAAGATATATAATTTTAGAGAGTTCAGATTAGCTATTATATTCAAAAAAAACTTCACTGCATTAGTAGCTAAAACTTTAAAAAAAATAAATCTAATTTTACTTAAACAATTGCTAACAAGTACTAAAAATCAACTAATAACTTGGCAGTAGTTAAAGATCCTCAAAAATAGCTTAAATAAAAGCAAAAAAGCAAAATAGTTTCAAATAATCAAAAAGACAGTGCTAGAAAATAAAGAAAACAGAGCTATC